GCAGACTCTGCAGAGAGTCACCACAAAGAAGGCCCTCACCAGATGTGCTCTCTGGACATTGGACTTCCCAGCCTCTAAAACTGTAAAAAATAAATTCTGTTTCTTTATAAATTAAAAAAAAAATAAAATAAAATAAAATAAAATAAAATAAAATAAGATGAAAGAAAAATATCAGTAATCATTATAAATGTAAGGGAACTAAACAAGCAGAGTGACAGATGATGGCAATATGCTACATGCTTTTTAAAAAAACTATATGCTGTTTGGGGAAAGAACTCACCAAAGCACAAGGGCCCCAAATGGTTGACAGTAAAAGGATTAGCTAAACAGATATTAAAGAAGGTATTAATAAAAATAAAGAAGATCTATTTCCTAATGATAAACTTAGCAAAAAGGCAAAATTTGAAATTTGTGTATCATAATGGGAGATTTTAACCCCCTACTCTCAATAACTGATAGATTAAGGAGACAAAAAATTTGGAAACATATGGCAGGTTTAAACAATTTGGCAAACAGGCTTATGAATGGAGTTATAAAGAACCCCGTCTCTAACAGTGAATCCACATTCTTCACATGCACACGTGGGGTATTTTATGAAAACAGACTACATACAGGTCACATAGCAAGTCTCAGCAAATATCAAAGAATTAGTATCATCACCACATAATCAGAACACAATACAATTAAGTCAGACATCGATAACATCAGATAACTAAAAAGTTGTCTATCACATATATTTTAAAATGCACTAATTAGCACATGAACAATGGAAGAACTCACAGTAGAAATGAGAAAATATCACATAAGAAAATTGGTAGATGCCTCCACAGTCAACTTGAGAGTTTCTGGGATTTAATTTTATTAACAAGTGGTTGTTCTTATTTGTTCTATAGAACCCTAGAAGTTTGCAGAGTGAACTACAACGATCTCACTTTCACCCAATGAAATAAAAGATATACTTTTTATTTCTGGTTACATGCCACTTTCAGAAAACTTATCCAGCTTACGAATAAAATTAATTTATAATTCCATAAATTAGTGGGACACATCATTTTAAAGACAAATTTATAGCCTTAAATGTCTGTATTCAAGGGTAATATTCAAAATATGTAACAGCAAGAACCTGTCCTAGGCAGCCAGTGCTATGATGCTCGTGTACTGGGGTATGTTAGGGAAGAGTAAAAACTACTGAGCTAGGAGACCAATTCAAGAAGTTAGAAAAAGAATAAACTAACCAGAGAGTAAGCAAGGGAGGGAATAAGAAAAAAGGTCAGTAGGACAATGGAGAAGATAAAAAAGGGCAAAGTTTGCCAAAAGACAAATCAACATTTCTGGGAAGGGAGAGAGAGAGAGAGAGAGAGAGAGAGAGAGAGAGATTTTGTGTGTGTGTGTGTGTGTGTTGGGAAGGAAAAGGGGGTGTAAGTAAAGATGCAGCAGAGATTGAAAAATAAGAAAATGCTAGAAACAATTTTATGCCAATATATGTGAAAATGCAAAATAACACTACATGGTTAGGCATACATACGTAGTTGAAGTATCTAGAAATTCAGAGAATGACAGATCTCAAATGCAGGTGAGTGTACAGAGGAGGAAAGATGATGGAATTAGAATCGGGAGCAGTATGTAAGTAAGGTGAGAAGCTCTTGACTACTGTGGCTGCTTCTTAATATTAGGATTCTAATGCTTTATTTACAGTCACTTTGTTGTTTTTAACCTCAGATGTTCAGGGCAGGCACTGCAGCTTGGTACCTTCCTTAATTTAAAGCCTTTCTTCAACTTTCCCAGTGAGCATGATGCTTACAGCCGCTAATACTCCTAAATAATGGCAAACAGCAGGGAACTGACAGGCTAATGCTGCATCCACTCCAGCAAATGAGGCCAAACATCTGGATCCAAATATATTAAAGGGACATGTTGGCATTAAGGAAACATTTTGCTTCTCAAATGAATTTCATCCAATCTCAGGATATTTATTAAATTTGTAGCAATTAAGCATTTGGGCTTCAGGGAATAATATTCTTGAATATATAAATATTCTCAATATATTTATATTAAATAAAACGTTTTAAAATCCTAAAATAACTTGAAATCCCAGGAGAACTCAAGGTCTACCCTTGTAGTTAATTGAGACAGGAAAGTGAATTTGAATTCTGATCTGACTGGCACCATTTTGCCAAAAGTTTGATTTCTTTCATATACAGAGCTGTTTAAAGTACAGTCATTTTCTTTTTGAACCAAAAATGCAAAAGTAAAATAAAATTGAAACATGAGCAAGAAAAAAAAGGCAGTTTTTTAATTATCATTTCAAAAGTCATCATTCCTCAAGTATTCGCTGAGAGTTTATGTTGATAAATAGAATGTAACCAATAAAAAATAATCAAGCAGAAAGTTAAAATAGGTGTTAAAATAAGTCCATAAAATAAAGCTCATGCACTTCACTTAGATGCCCCTGTCTCCTGTATTAGACACAGTCCAACAAGCTGATGAATAAAAGTGCGCTGCCCTCCACCCACCCACCCACCCGTGCCTCTCCTGAGCACTGCCCTGGCCCTGCCCTGCAGGCTGAGACAGTGAGCTGAGGCAGGTGTGGGATGGACGCCTCCACTCCCACTGCCACTGACTGGGCAGAAGCAGGCAAGGGCTGAAGGCCGGCCAGCCCTGGGCACGGTGAGAACCTCAGAAAAAGGTCCTATGAGCCACTAAAATTCCTCTCCTCATGAATTCAGCCCAGGAAATCTTGACAAGATCAGGTCTTTGCAGCTGAAGAGCCAAACGGTGATGATGCAAACTGAGGCCAGTGGGGCCAGCATGGCCATGAGCAGGCCAGGGTGACAGAGGTGACAAAGGGGCAAACAACATGCGGAAGGAGAGTGAGCTGACAGCAGACAGGGGAGAAGAGAGCAGATGCAAAGACCCCAGCAGAAAGACAGAGAAAAACCCCGAAGGAGCCCAGTTCCTGGCTGCTCTCCTGCTCCAGGTTCTGTTACTTACCACTTGGCTAACTTAACGGGGACTCTCTTCTTTTGTACTTTAATGGCCTTTGTTGTGCAGGTTTGAAGCTATGGCATATTAGAGGCAACTTAGGAACAGGGCAGGGAGGAAGGCTGTAGTCAGACAAACTGAAGACAGAAATGACAGCAAAGGAAGAAACAGAAAATAAAAGCACACACAAAATATGGAAGTC